CTAAAGAAGTTTGAAAAGAAAAGAAAAAGCGGCAAGTTAGCATAAATTCAGTAGGTGATCCTAGAATTGTAGTTAGGGTTGGTAGAGTGACAGGAGTCGATGAAGTGTTCTACGACTAAGCTTCGCACACCCTTCCTTTCTGCCTTGTAAAGTTATGCTAGGATATGTCCTCGTATCCATGTGGAAAGTGTTCTCTGGCTACGGCCAATGAATCTTGCTCCACAAGAGCAGGTGAACCGATAAATGCACATGGAAGCAGCCAGATGGAAGAGCTTATCTTTTTCAGAGAGAGGGGACAACTTACGGCTGGTGAATGTCATTTGTAGTTTTCCAGCAAAAAGAAGGTCTTACTGACTGATTTAGACAAACGATTTCTGTGCATATCCGAACCAGATCACCCTTGAATTCTAAATTCATGAAGATAGTTTTCTTTAGAACTCAGTCAGTGACCAGTTCGGACTGCTAATCATTTGTGTTTTTGTCAATAAATGGGTTCGGGTAACCATTTTCTGCTAGCGTGGTTTGTAGGAAGGAAAATTCTTAGTCAACGCAGTCAGAAGTACATTGGATTTCATACTACTACTATTATTACTTCCTATATTCACATTTTTGTTTAAATTTCTCCTCATGGGGTATAAGTGCTTAAGGAAAACTCCATATATATATATATACCACTGTACAGCTTGATAACAAATTCGTTGGAAAGATTCTCTTCCCTGAATATTGTGTTCTTAATGCTACATTAATGGTCAGTTATACTGCGGATACATTTTTTATGTGGAATGACAGATTAGTAACTCTTGGATGACAGAATAAAAAGTATGCTTGTGTGACAAAACGTGCTGAGCGGAATTCAGTTAGAAAAAATATTAGGAATTTGTGAAATAGTGATGGTGACCAGTCGTTACAGATTCATACTATGTGGGGAAGAAAAGTGACAGATTTGTCACTTCAGGATTGTAAAAGGTGTTAGGGGAGCGGCCGATAAAAAAAGCGATATGCATTAAAGAGGAGATAGTATGGCTGCAGTGAAATCATGAAATAACCACTGTGTGAAATGAGACAGACGGAGGTCAATCTTATTGCAACAACTTCAGCTATATGTAGAAGGCGTAAGCGAACTGCATGTGACAATGACTTCGGGATGTGATATATATCACCAAAGGCTTTGTTAGTGTCGGTGTGACGTCCTGTATCTATCAGATATGATATAGTTGAACTATTCATGCATTTGATTTCACTCTTACTGAACCAAGCTAATAAGTGTTCCCAAATCCTAAGATGAACCTGACTAATACTTTGGCCTATATAACTTTAACCAAAGGAACAGCTGAAATGGGGGTATACATGAGGAAGAATTAAGATTAGGTAAGACATCCTGAAGTTTCTGGGTGAACATTGGACATCTGCCGAAGGATAAAAAGAGACGGCCAGAGTAGAAAGTCATTTTTATCGCACTGATTAGACATTGGAATGGACTGTCCGTAAGAGTATCCCCGTTGAATCGTAAACGCGAAAACAATGGCTTTTTCTCCACTACTGACAGTTCATGTTTGTTGGCTTTCATAAACTTCTCTGGATATCTGTTTTCGCCCAGACTGTCTGGAATTTCATGGAGCTCATTCTTTACGCAGTCTTTGGATTTTGATGTATTTGTGTCCTCCGAGCTGGATGGTTAATTTGCGATGCTTTCATCGGCCTACTAGGCAACATCTTCAGCGCATACTTCAGTTTGTTGAAGTGAGCTTTTAGATTTCTCCACGAGTTTGTTAGTCATCTCTCCTGGTGACTTTGGGTGTGATTGATTGTTTTTGTGTGTTTTCACACTATAAACTGCTAGTATTGGAACTAATTGTTTCCTAGACTTGAACTTTGACCCTATGTGTGTGAGGTTTTCTTCTTATCGGTTGGTAAATTTTGTCTATCTCGTTGTGTCTATTGACTGACGACTCACTGGAATACCAGGCAGCTTTTCAAAAATTCTGTAGCATTCTTTGTGTTTCCTCTGTCTAATATATGCACGTTACGTAGACGACACATTTGTAATAAAGAAAAAAAACGATGTAGATAAAACTCACAACTTAATGAACAACGTCTTCAACGATATAAAATTCACAAGAGAAGACGAATCCGAGAACAAAATCCCATTTTGGACTTCTTAGTCAACAGAACAACCAAGCAAATGTAAGAAACTGAAGTTATAGAAAATCACCTCAAGCAGATCAAATACTCAATCACAACAGCAAAAATCCAATAACACATGGAAGGAATTGCATACAAACACTATTCAAGAGGGCCAGGACTCATTGCAGCACTCCCACCTTAAGGAAAATTGAAGAAAGATATCTCATGGATGTCTTCCAAAAGTATGGATATCCACGGAACGTCATCAGAAGACGTATACCCCCAGCCAACCAACCAAATAAAAAGCCTCCAAGGAAAGCATAAAGAAAATCGCCCTACTACATATAAAGGACATCACAGAAAACGCTGTAAGACTCTTCAAACCTTTAGGAACAAACTAACAAAACCACTTTACTCAGCTGGCTCTATGTCAACCAAAAGACTCAATAACGAAAGAAGATAAAGTCAACATCATCTACAAAATAAATTGTAACAAGTGCGGAAAACGCTACATTGGCCAAAGTGGACATCCCCTTCGTCTTCGTATCCATGAACATAAGCTAGCCGTCAAAAGACATGACATCCACTCCCTCATATCACTACATACAGACAACCACGGACACCAGATCGACTGCGACAGCCAACGTTCAAATATTAGACAGAGGAAACAACGAAAATGCTAGAGAATTTTTAGAAGCTTGGCATTCCTTTGAATCAACAATCAATAGATACATCGAGATAGACAAAATTTACCAGCCGATAAGATGGAAACCTCACACACAAATGGTCAAATTCCAAGTGAAGGAAACAATCACTTCCAATACAAGTAGCCTAGAGGGTGTGAAAACACACGAAAACAACGAACCACGACATTCAAGTTCACCAGAAGAGATGACTAATAAACTCGTGGAGAAATCTAAAATTCCACTTCAACAAAATGAAATATGCGTTGAAGATGTTGCCTAGTAGGCCGATGAAAGCATCGCAAACCAGCCATCCAGCTCAGAGAACACAACCATACGAAAATCATCCACCTTAGCTAAAAAATCTTCTCCATCATATATACAGTCTTTGGAGCAAATCACCGTCGCTTTAAGCGCTAAGCACCTGATCAAATTATGCTTGGTAGGAAGTTGTACAGATGGGTATATTGAGCAATGGTCTCTTGCCCTTAAGTATAGTTCTTTTAATAGATCCGTCTACTATTGACTGGTCACCGACATCGTGTCACATTTCACAGTACTTCGTAATTGAATTCAGCTCAGAAAGTTTATCATATGAGCATAATATTTATTTTGTAACCCTATAGCGAATCTGTCATTCTAAATTAAAAATGTATCCGCCTTATAACTGGCTATTATAGTAACGAAAACTACTATATTTTATAAATGTGATAACCTTAAGAGAATTTATAAAATGGAAAGAATATTAATCGTTCAGACGCACTTTTAATTCATCATCTGGGAATGTGTCACGCTTAAATATCTGTCACATCTTAACTGACCTCTCTATCAACGTGTTTGTTAATCATACCTTATCTGTATTGTGTTGAATCATTTCGTAATGTCGGGACCCACTTTGTAGTTTGACATGTCATCTTGATAACTATTCGTACCTTTCAAGTATTGGTTTGTAGGGATTTGATCGACTGGTTAAAGGATTTCATCATGAGATGATATTGGTTAGAGAGACATTGGGAAACCTGGACAGCTGTTTCGTCATAGTTTTGGGACTCTTCATCATTACGCACCCACCCCACTGGGGTCCTAACCCACTACCTTCTGGTTACAAAGCGAGCTCGTAGACCATTAAGCCACTGGGACTCAATCCAATGGCCCATGAATTCTAACTTTTGCAAATTCACGAAATAGCGTGACCGCTGTCCAATGTCTTCGGCGAGTATTTGTCCTCACACACATTCGTACTTTTGTTTGTAACGAGTATTCAGGTTGGGAACTACATCATTTTTGTCACATCTATTTCATAGATGTCATAGATGTTGATTGCATCACTGAATTCTATTTGTATTTAACAATACCACCTTAAATTATAAAATTCTACACAAATTTTTAGTTCCATATGTATGTGAAAAATGTAGAGCCTTCACGAAATGAAAGTGAAAACAATTCATGTCAGAGTATTTATTGATTTTGCTTTTTATAACGATTTAAAAACAGAGAACATTTTCCCATTCCTTTGAGTTCTCAGTGGGACATATGACATCAGGCTGTATGCTTTGAAATTTCAGTTACACTAGTGTTGTCTCCAAGGGTTGGAGTTGCTGGCCTCTAGCCTATTCTTCCCTCTTTACTGAGCTCACTACAGGTTAGGTGAATCCCAGACCACGAGCACAGTGGGTGGTCATTCTATCCCTGAATCATCGATGCACCATAAACGGAGATAATCGCATAAAAGGGTCCGTTTTTTTTTTCATTTTTCACAGTCATGCATAAATATCATAATCGCTTGTTCACGTGTAACAATGTAATTACAATGAATTTTGCTTCCTAGATATTTTGTAATTAAACTGAAGACTATAGGCACTAAACGGAAGTAACTGAGAGTGAAATGGCCTATGAAATCATTTGGTTGGGCAATTTCACTAAAAGACTAATTGTATTAATAGCGATTATGTGTAAATTCATGGTGGTCTGAGTATATTTAAGCGAGTTGACAAAATACACAAATTACTGTTCCGCTTTTTAAAAAGGCGAAATAATATCACTCAACAGGTTCTGCTAAGCTAATCACCTCATTATCAGACATTATAAAATACGAAAAGTGGACAAAAAGTGTTTTTTTTTCACCAGTATTCAGCAGTTGATTTATCTAATTATCAAAATTAAAAGGGTAACTGTGTGTTATTTTTTCTATAGGTGTTATAGACATGGCGTTCCACCGACCCTTCCAATTTCTGCACCGGTGCCTCCGTTACGCTTATGCAATCCAGAAATGCCTAAAAGGTTAGTCATTAAGTATATAGTATATATAAGTATATATGTATATAACTATTTACTAGATGACATTTTAGACACAATCATATCCGTTGTAACTACACTACTTCTTGCCATTCTTTCCTATACTTCATGAGGGTAGCAGCATTCCCCAAATGTCCGGGGTAGGTGTTGGGTCATTCCTGTTATGTACGTTCTCATTGGATTCGATGAGTGCGGCTCCACTTATCAACACCTTCCTCCTTCCTATTACATAAGATTTAACTGCCATCATTTCGCCATTTCATTGCATGTAATTGTATGTTTAGCTATAGCTGAGCTGTTCTCTAAATCCTCTATTTTATCAGAGTCAACCTGTGTATTAGATCGTGGAAAACACCTATTTTTGGACATTAGAAAGAAGTAAACACGAAGTTCAGCAAAGATGACGATCTTTCCAGTGATTTCATTTTCAAAAGCAGCTGTACAATAGCATTTAAATACATAATTTTACATAGATACACTTTTTACTTGATTCCACATAATTGCGAAGGCGAATAAAAGGTGACGATTATTTTCAACTAGATATGGTTTACGAGAGGCTTAGAAACAAAATTATACAGGATTAGAACGAATTACAGGTTGGGAACAAAATGAGCATGGGAACAAATTGAAATAATAATTTTCAACTTGTGAAATAGAAGTTAGGAAGTGTGAATATAGACTATAAGAGGCTTAGATACAAAAATTACACAGGATTAGAATATAATTGTAAAATAGTTACTTTAAGCGAATTACAAATGTGAGCAGGAAGAGAATGGGAACAAACTTAAAATAACTGTTCTTATAATTGAAAAAATGGGATGAATTGAATGAAGACAGAGAGAATAAGAATCACACACACAGTGAACGAAAAAAGACCCGAAAAAGGATGAAAAAGGAACGAAAAAAGCGTAAAAAGAACGGAGGCTAAGGGAACTAGGTCCATGGTAGTTGTAGAGGTTGGACTAATTTCTTTCGAACACACAGCTCCGGCTTTTCGATGCATATTGCGAGGGCTTCTGCAGTACAGAGAAGTCAGAAACACACTGCTTTTGGTAGGTTTCTGTTGACTTTGTAAATTACTTTGACTGAATCAGTTGAGATATTGTGGGAGGTGTTGATCAGATGTTCAATAATGGCACTTCTGACTGAACCGGTGCCTCCTCTTTGCAGCCACGCTGGGTAATGTTCTCTAACGCATTTTGTTTCTAAGCCTCTCGTAAACCATATCTAGTTGAAAATAATTGTCACCTTTTATTCGCGTTCGAAATTATGTGGAATCAACTAAAAACTGTATTTAAATGCGATTGTACAGCTTTTGAAAATGAAATCGCCGAAAAGATAGTTATCTTTGCTGAACTTCGTGTTCTCTTCTGCCTATGTATTAGACCTCAAAATTATTGTAGGGTGTTAAACAAACTAAATTATTTCCTGTTTATTGGGCTCCATAGGATCCTTTAATCTACATGGTTCGTTTCTTTGTAAGTTTTTGGGTTTGAGTGACATTTATCACTGCCTTGGCAGGAATCGTTCATAAGGTTTCAGAAGTTCTCTCTTTGTATGACAGTACTACTAAAGTTTTGAAATCCTTATTGTTCACGTTTGCATCGTTCTGTGTATATATATCATGCATTGAGTCCTTATTATTATTCCTATAATTTCCAGTACATCTCAGGATTAATTTGGTGGGTTATGAAATTGCAAACTGCTATACAAAGATCAAGATTTACACGTATATTAGCTCTTTTCTTAGTCGAGTGAGTGGGTGGACATTAATGTGTACATTGAGTCAAGACAACCTGATTCCAGAAAAGGACTAGTTTTAGGAGAAAGATCATTCGAAATGCAATCGAATAGTACCAGAAAGAGCCAGGAGGGACATTCCTACTCGAAGTTGTTGAACTTTGAAAAGTTCACTATAGGCTGAAGCCTGGTCCAAGTGGGGAATTTTGCAAGATAAAGTGGAGGTAGAAAAATGGTTTGCTTACTAAACAGTTTGCTTTCCTTGATGAACTTGAAAGAAGGCAAAAACAGAAAAAACTGAGCATAACAATATGACAACTCTTCATATTTCATTGGGTCTTGTCAAATGCATATAACCTGGTAGATCTGACAGACAAGGCAGCATAATTTACCGAAGAACATCCAGTGTCTTTGAGGTCAACTAGTAGATTAGGATCAAGTGATCCACAACGTAAAATTCAGCGAGGCGTTTGAAGTGCATACAAGAGTAAGACAAGGCTGCCTGCTTGCCTATTGTCACCGATGATATTCTTAATTGTTGTGGACTGGATTATGCGTGAGACTGTGCGTCGGAAGCGAGGAGACAGGAATACGCTGAACGACCGATAAGAAGACTCTAGAAGGTTTGCATTTCGCAGATGATATATATCTAATGTCACACAAACTTGAAGAAATGCAGGCGAAAACCAACAAACTGACCGAAGAGGCAGGCAGAGAAAACAAGACTGCAGGTGAACACTGGGAAGATGGAGGTAATGAAGTTAACCAATCAACAGCAGCAACAACAACAACAACCAGCACCAATCGCCATCAAAGGGAAAGATTTAACAGAGGTTGCCTCCTTCACTTATCTGGCCAGGAAGCATCGTTTCAACTACAGGCACAGGGAACGGATGAAGATGTCAAAGTCAGTCTAAATCGAAAAGGCAAGATACGCCTTCATCAACCTGAAACCAGTTTGGAAATCTTCCACACTCAGCATAAGGAACAGGATTCGCATTTTCAACACCAATGTCAAGTCGGTCCTTCTATGAGGGTCATAAACTTGCCCAGCGTGTTACGAAAAGGAGTTACAACAGTTCACTGCAGACTTTCATCAACAGCTGCCTTCGTTGGCTCCATACTGAAGATCAAATATGTAGGAGAAAGTGGACATGGATTGGGCATAGATTGAGAAGGCCACCGAATGACATCGCACGCCAGGCCATTGCTCGAGTGGAATCCCAATGGGAAGTGACAAGTGGGTCGTCGATGCGGTGGTGATATGGAGGAGATTGTGTGAGGAAGAGACGAGAGAGAGTTTGGTCAATCGTGGACCCAGCTGAAGAGGACGGCAGAAAATAGAAGGAAGTGGAGATGTGTTGTTGAAGTCAGCCCTATGTTCCACTCGGAACGCAAGGGAATAATAATAATATAATAAGTTATCAGGACAAAGAAATTTGGCTAGATCTAGAATGATTTACGCTGCCAATCTGAGTAATCCAGAGAAAGCTACGGTAGTGCTATGCATACACTCACATGTAATCACACATTAGGGTGCGATAGGGTTATAGCATGAAAAAGTCGAATGTTTAGATGGAGAAAGAGGTTATTTACTGAATCTTTGTTCAAGTCAACCCTATCACAGGGGCAAAAATTCTATTCCTAAATTGTGAATGTCTATTGTTCAGCTAAATCTCAGATGCAGTCTTTGTAACTATTAATAATATTACCTCCAACTGTTAATCTATTTTACATTTGTTTTCTTGTATTTTTTATTTTCAGTTCTGAACTATTGCAACGTTATGATATACTTGTCTGGTTTGAAATACTGGAGTTAGATCGTAATGGAGAGTAAGTTGCCTGTAAAAGCTGTAAGAGTTTAATAAACTATTTACATTGAATCATTATAAAATTATTGTAATTTTGCTAAATGAGTTGTGGCTTACATAGTGAAACGTTCAGGAAAAAAAATCTTGTTTTGATCTCTTAAACACGGAGGATTTTTTAATGAAGCAACTGAATAATGCGTCAATCTAACTTGGTGCTCAAATTAAGGCAGGAAATTTGCAACATCTATGGTTTGGATATTAATGATATTATTAACAATGAAAATACAGTTTTAAGCTAAATATTAAATTCTTAGGAGACATCCATAATTATATGACACAGGAACAATCTCCAGAGAAGCCAACTAGGATGTAACTTCAACTCTGTGCAGTAATTAGTTTTCCGTAATTTTATATTGGTGCGTCGGTGGCATAGCGGTTAGGATGCTCGTCGACCATGCACATGGTCCGGGGTTCGGTACCCGGCTGACGCACTCCCTCACCTCGCTAGGCCAGAAATAATGCTGGTGAAAAGGAAACGTCGGGCATGAGGCTAGCAACCCCATCCTGTAAAATAAGCACTGCTACAGAAACTTCAAGCCACTAGCTTGAAGCCCTATTTTCGACTGGGGAACGTGAAGGAAAAAAATAAATTTTATATTGCATTATAATAAGTTAATCCTAAGAAGTCTATAACTTTAGCACTCGGTGACATAATCACGAAATTCAGATGGAATATGACTTTTCTCTAGGCTGCATCATATGTTGTTGTAGGCGATATGCAATAAACATCAAATATAAATTCAAGAAATTCTGCTGAAATACATCCAGAATCTAGTATGAAATGAAATGACAATCAAGAAATGTTTAGCCATAAAATGTTACGCGAAGTTAAACAATAGCGTCCCAGGAGTGTGAATGTTCCAATGACCTTGAACGCATGCTATTCGTTGGCTTACGGCGCCTGTTATTATCATAGCTGAAATATCAATTATTATTATTATTATTAGTATTAGTATTGTTTCCTTTAATTCCTAGAGGAACATAGGGCTTCAGCTGTGCGTCTCCATTGCGTTCGGTTCTCTGCTAGAGTCTTCACCTGGCTCCAATTCTGCCCACACGTTTTCATCTCCTCTTCATATGATCTCCTACAAGTCACCCTTGCACTGACGACCAACTCGCCGCTTTCCTCTCGGGTTCCACTCGATGGCTTGTCTAGTGATGTCACTTGATGGTTTCATCAGAGTATGGCCAATCCATCTCCATTTCTTCCTGCCTATTTGTTTCACAATCAGTTCCTGCTCAGTTGGTTCGCTCCCAGAGATGTCTGTTGCTTATCCTTTCTGGCCATCTTATCTTGTTTATTGAGCGAAGACAACTGTTAATGAAGGTGTGTAGTTTGTTTGAGATGCTCTTTATGATGCGCTGGCCAAGTCTCTGATCCGTATAGTAGCACTGACTTCACATTGGAGTTGAAATCTGGATCTTATTTTTGATGCTGATTGCTGTTGACCTCCACACAAACTTGAGAGAAATGAAAGCTTGCCTTGCTTTCTCGATGATCCTCGCTTTGATGTCCTCATCAGGCCCATCCGCCTTTAGTTGAAACGATGCTTCCCAGGTAGGTAGTGAAAGAGGGTGTTTCTTTCAGGTTCCTCCCATTTATTCCGTAATGTTTACTGATATGATAAGATTATGAGCAATAAATTGTGCTCGAAACGTCATCAGTAAACATTACTGTATAACACTGCGAGACTTTATCAAAACAAAATTTACCCATAATGGAATTATACTCTACCACAGTGCACAAGTTTTATTCTTATATCAATCCTCCCATTTATGCTGATTGTTGTCCGCTGTTGTTGTTGTTGCTGTTGGTGGTGTTGCCCAGGAATCTTCATCACCTCTGTTTTCTCTATGTTCACCTGAAGTCCCATCTTCTCTGGATGCTTTTTCTGCCAACTTTTTGCTTTTCGTTTGCATATCTTCAAGTTTGTGGGAAATCAGACATACATGATCGGTGACATTTCAATAATATACACCAACTATGGAGCGAATTTCACCCAAATCACGTTTCGACAATGTGTTAATAGCTCTTTAGGATCAGGGTTAAGGTAAGTTTTGGGTTAAGGTTAGGATCAGGGTCATAATTAGCATTAGAGTTAGGTTTACGATTAGAATAAGGCTTGTAATTAGGGTTAGTGTTAAGTTTCGGGTTACGACTAGGCGTAGATTCAGAGTTGATGTCATTTATTTTAATTTGTTTTATTATCCACATTTTCCTGGTAAGCAGTCGTTAATCCTCTTACAGGAAGCCGTAGTAATTCAACCGAGGGTTTTAGGGAGGACTGCACAACAAGATAAGAGAGATAAATGAATCGCAAAAACAGCTCATCTTTAGTCATCTTGGTGAATACATGTACAGAAACTAGTCTAACTTAGCAACTGATACTCCTCGTTATAACAGAGGGACGTATTTTTAAGTCATGTCAGAGAAAGATTCCCTGTTCAGTAATGTGTTTTCTTGCATTTTCTTGTAAATATACGTTATTTTTCATGCAAAAATTCCTCATTTCTATGATTGGTCGGCTCAAGGACACTTGTGCGTTGGCATCCCTTGGGACGCTATTGTTGAACTTTGCCAAATGTTAACCTGTCACCGAAGCAGATATTTTCCTATAACTGAAAACGTTAAAACGGGATAACACGTCACTGAAAAAATAGGCAAGCTATCTCAGGAACATTGAAATTAGTGTCAAGTGTTAAGATACAATCAGAAGTAAGTCATAAAGCTAAGCTTCACACTTAGATCCAACCGCTAGCATACAGTATCAGAAAAATCCAAAGAAATGATCCCATCTTGGGGATTTGAACATACATCAATGCTGAGGTCAGCTATGTTACCACAGAGCTATTCAAGTAAGAAGTCTAAGTCTAGGCCTACCTACCAGCTGTCTTCAGCCAACCATCATTAGTCCAAAGTGAGTATTGGTAATAAGTTTTGTGGATGAATGAACATATTACTAGTTTGACTAATATGGTAAAGTTAAACTTTAAGCACCACTAACTACCAATCACAGCGAATGACCACGAACGCACCAATCATGTAAAGGAGGCATTTTTGTGTATGGAATACATAGATATATTTATGAAACAATTGCATAGAAACTTTATAAAAGCGTTGCAGAGGATACTTTCCTCTCTCAGTTTTAGGTTCAAGTATCAAGAGAGTATAATTCCACTGTGGGTATAATTTATTTTGATAAAGTCTTATGGTATAATACAGTAATATTTACTGAGGAATAAACTGTGCTCAAAACGTTGTCACCAGTAAATATTACCACTGTATAACATTGTGAGACTTTATCAAAATAAATTTTAACTGCAATGGAGTTATACTCTACCACGTTCTATTCTTATATCAACAGAGAAATTTAATCACATTCTATGCATGTAATCATTTAGGTCTTCTTACCCTAACAGTAACCCTAATCTTTCTTGAACCTAACCCTAACGTGAAAATATCCCTAAACTAACTGTAATCTAACTTGAACCAACCCTAATGTCGCCTTTGTTAGATTAACCTAACCTTAACTTGTCCTTGCCTTAAAGCGTAACTTAATCTTTCCCAAACCTAAGCTGAAACTTGCCAGATATCCCGTTTAATAACGTAACACTTTAATGAGCATATTTTATTGATGATGACAGCATTATCTGCCGGGTTTCACTAACTTGCTCAGTGAGCGTTTCAAGGTAATTGGTGCGGTCGCACTCCATCGGTAGGTAGTTAGTGATGCTTAAAGTTTAACTTGGCCACTAATATATTTTAAACAGCACGAAAACTGAAAATTAGACACATGATTTCATCGTAATTCCGAATTTCATTTTCAGTCCCATACAAGTATTTTCCTAAAGTCAAAGATTAAGTAAATCAGTCAGCTTGAATTCTGCTACAAACTAGATTTTCCTTTTCCATTTATCGTCCAATACATCAATAGAAGTCCGTCGATCTACGGCTATCCAATATTATATTGCAATGGGATAAATTAAACACAGAAATGCGTCAAGTCCAGTTGAGCCTTAATCATCATCGACACAAGTTGAAATAATAATAATGATAATAGGTTTATTCTGAACATGTTTAATACAGTACAGAGTTTTCAGCTTTCTTTTGTCCACTCCAGATACGTGATCTTCAGTAATCTACAGTATATCATTCAGCTGAATTTCTTTTTGTATGAAACATGCTAAACGTCTGAGAAAACAGACTAAACGGTATCTTGGGTGAAACTGAAAAGTGTGTGAGAGTACAGATTGTTCTTCAAGGACGTAAATAGGTGGTTAGAACAAATTATAACTGAGTAAATTTGACGTATTTCGCTTCGAGGAAAATAACTTAGACCGAAGATATAAGCAGACTGCCTTAAACACAGCTCTTTAAAGTCAGAGCAAAGATAAATCTACCATGTTTAATAACAATTGAAGGACATTTATAGAGGCAGAGAGAGAATGACTACTTAAGGAGTTAAAAACGACAATTAACAAGATACAGTTATTCTGGGTGCGATATTTTGGGTGTAAACTAATCGTCTGGCTGCTAAAAATGTGAAAACTAGATTAAAAGAAGTAGGGGGAATTTCCTATCACGCAATTATTTTGTTAAAGGTAGTCAGAAATCAGCGAAAACATTTTTTCTGATCATAAGGATTAGGTATTATTGAAACATAAAAAGACATAGTCACTGTGAACTGGAAAAAGGACAGACTAGGTTATTAATTTCATCCTTGGTGTTAATATTTTCTTAATTGTGGAGTATTTCTCATGCATTTGGAATTATTTACTTTAGCTGATTCTTGATTACATAAGTTTATCGGGAGTTGTTCAATAAAACGAGTAACTATTCACCTTTTCCTTCCTTTGTCGACGAACAGTGTTATTTAACATAGGATCAGGCTGGAAAACAGCTTATGGTAGTCAAACCAAAATGTGGAATAAGTCCATGAAATCGTTGGCAGTTAATCTAAGCTATTTAAAGAGGTATAGACTGGCTGATCCATGTACTCGGAATTTTAACGTCCACTGGATGATGACTATTGGTGAGATGGCTCAAAATCGTTCCCAGTGCAGCTGGTACATTCACTTGACGGTCTTCCATATTCTCATGTCTTCCCATGTTGATATTTCTCCGTACATTTGTGGTAATTATCGTTCCTTTGAATTCATTCTCTTTCTGGGCCTTCGTTTGCTACATGGAGTGTAGCAACTTTAACTGTCACAGTTCTGTGGAACGCTCAGCGTCGGCCCTCAGTTATTTTCTGGTCTTACCAATATATTCTCTGTGACATGTACATGTAAAGTTTATTTAAAAGCAATATGAGATGGCTACCCAATTCGTATGTGTCTTCCTCATGAAACGATGCTTTTCATATAAAGATAATAATTTAGCCTACGAAAACGTTGTGCTTATCACCAATTTCATAACTAGAAGAGATTTTTACCGAACAGACATAACATTAGATTACTAGTTTCCATTTTCAGCTCACTTACTGCCATTCTTCTCCACGGGAGATTCACGAATGTATTTCTCAATCTCCCATTGGATAGATTGATATGAATGTACAACTTGGGCACTGTGGTAGAGTTTAACTCCATTATGGATAAGATTTTATTTTGATAAATCACACAGTGTTGTTATACAGTAATATTTACTGGTGACCACGTTTCGAGCGCAAATTATTGCTCATAATGACATCAAGGTACTACTCACACAACTTTCTTGCTTCATTTACATTCATGAGTAAAAATTGATGAGTGAACATTAGAATAAAAATCAGTATGAGATAATATACATTCAGGAATAATAATATGAGTGTTATTGATCAATAAGACAAGTGTTTCTATAGTCATAATAAGTAACATGTCAGAATGTTATAATGTGAATTGAAATAGAATTTTAAGATTATTTATTATCCTCCTCTGATTTACTGACTGGTGGTAATAATACCTTCCATATTTCTGGTATTTGCATTGAGTCATTTCTGTTGCATGTGTTGTGTTGGGTGTAGACTCGATGAACCAGAATTCAGTAATCAATCTCTCTCTCCAACTACATATATATCGTTTTAGAATTTTGACTCTGTCCCACACTATTGTGTGGTTGTGTGTTAGTGTTTGCATGCAGTGCGATTGCTGAGTTTTTTTCTAAATTACTTATCTTCTCGGGGTCAACCATTCTTAACTTAGCTAAATTGTTGTGTTCTGATAATCTGACTACCCCCGACCTACTAGTTTGACCTATGTAGTTGACTTGACTCACAGTCATTGCGTGGTATTCTGTAAATTAAATTATTCTGTCCAATTAGGTCAACTGGGTCCTTTAACCTACAGAGCTTGTCCTACCTGAGTGAGTTTGTAGGTTGAAATGCTGCTCTAACTCCTGCTTTATTAAGAATTCTACGTAGGGTTTCAGATGTCCCCTTCTTCTATGGTATAATAGTAGATGACATATTCTGTCTTATTTGTGTTATCATTGCTAGTTTCAGAATTATTTTTATTTTGTTTTTGGCCTTTTCCGATCTTCCTAATGAATTTTGTAGGATAGTTATTTGACACCAACGCTTCTTCTATGTGTTGTATTTCATCATTTAGGTTTCTTGTTTTACTACTTAGTGCCATTGCTCGGTTTGTTAAACACTTAACTAAGCCTGTCTTAACAGTTAAAGGGTGAGATGTATTAAAGTCTAAATATCTATTAGAATGCTCTGATTTTCTATAAACACTAGTGTGTAGTTTGCCTTCTTCTATTCGTTTTACCTTACAATCTAACATAGCTAATTCTCCTTGCTCATTTTCGGCTTCAAATGTGAATTTTATTCCCTCCACTAGTGAGTTTATGTGTGTCAAGAAGCTAGAGATGTGTTCTGTTTTTAACACTGTGAAATTGTCATCCGTATATCTCCACCATATTTTTGGAGTAGTATTATGTGTATTAAGAGCACTATTTTCCCAACTGTCCATAAATATATCTGCTACTATAGGGGATATTGGTGATCCCATTGCTACACCTTCAGTTAGTCTATATATTTAGCCTTGGAATTTGAAGACAATAGATGTGAGACACAATAACTGAATTCCTAAAATAATCTCCTCAGTGGGCAGCTTTTTCCTAATTGTTTTGATAATTCATAAGTAGGGGTATTCCTGAAATCTACTATTGGTATCATGGGGTAACCTGGTTTACGTATTTTTGTAGTACCATATATTCTACTAGCATTATTAGTTTCAAGCACTAAATTAAATCATTTAGACTCACCCAACGACGACTTCATTCCGCGTTTTAAGTCCGCTGTAGATTTCTTAATTTTATTCATTAACGTATCTACAGGCTTCTTAATTTCCTCATATGGATTCGTCTCAATATGTTCAGTGACTTTCTTTATATAATCAGATTTATCCAGAACTGGTGTAGAGTTTCCTTTATCAGCTTTTGTGATGACGGTGTTTTTAAATCCTTTTTAGGATTAATTAGAGCTAATCTTTCCGATTTTGTTAATGCACACTGTACTCGAACCTCTTCTGCTGTCATCTTATCTATTGAACTTAATGCTACTTCTTTGTTAGGAATGACATCTTCTGGTTTTAGTTAACTAACCGTTACATTGAAATTTATTTCCTTTTTTAAGTAGTTTTATCTCACTAGAGGTTAATTCTCTTGAAGCGAGTGGTTGATTACTCACTTTGTTTTATCATTAGAAGATGAAATATTGTTATCAACTAATTAATTTATTGTGCTTTTCTTTTATTCTAATAATTTGTTGAATTTCTTAATTTCTTATCTGTAATGGAGTCATTGGATAGATTATTTAAAAATTCCAATATATCAGAACATATATATTCCTTTTCTATCTCCTTTTCAATTTCAGTTACACACCAGTACCAGTTGATCGATTAGATGAAACACCCTGCCAGGGTGTATTTCTTATTCATCAAGGCATTCAACGACGTATCGCTATCACTCTAGTACATGAAGTTTGCAGTTTTAAAAAATCCAACACAATTGATGCACATCTAAACTATTCATCTAGCTTGTTTCATGGAATACATGAGGTTGTTGTTGGTCGAGTGCGTGAAACACCTGAATGGTTAGATTCTGATGAACATACGCATATCCTGTCGTTATCTTTACTGCCTGCACAACAGACACATGAAGCAAGCAGTGATCGGTAAGTCAGTGTATATCGGTGTTTCCTTTATATTCTGAGACAGTAGTGTAAATATTTTCCACACCAAGTCAGGTAAGAGAAGACTTACTCGCCGATTAAATCAGCCGGTAGTTGTGCGATACATCGCGAATTGGCAGAAGCTGGGATTCATAGGTCGGATCTCAGTAGTTGGACAGTCTTCGAGTTCTCCTTGTAACTGCAGAGACCTGGGTTCGAGCCCCAGAGGGTATGGGCTGCTGGAGAGTCTCAAACTAGAATGAAACAGCTGTCCAGTACTCCCCAGTCTTCCAGTGGTTCTCTAACTGACAATAGTCAGCTCGTGGCCTAACCTATAACCAATTAAATCCCTTTGCAGTTAATAATGTTCTCTGAGCTGGTTGGTTTGGTTGCGGAGCTTTCGTCGTCCTTCTGGACAACATCTTCAGCGCAATATTTAGCATAAAGTGAAACATATAATCTATCTAAAGAACTTTTCAGGAAATTAAATTACCTAACAGAATCATGCGACTATTCTATCAATTCGTCAATCCAATTTTTAGAGAAAATCAAAAACATTCAAGTGGATCACAATGAAATAATGGCGTCCTTTGATGTCGCAGCATTATATACTTCAATTAGTCCAAAACTAGCAACAGAAACTGTGCAACAATTACTCTATAGTGATGAAAACATAAAAACGCAATTACCAACTTGGATAGAACTCATAGAATTATGCCTTACAACATACTTCCAATTCAATACTCAAATATATGAACAAATAAAAGGAACACCAATGGGATCGCCCATATCAGGATTAATAGCTGAAGCCGTTATGCAAAGATTAGAATCAATAGCTCTACCTATAATTAAACTGAAAATATGGGTACGTTACGTTGATGATACATTTGTAATAATTAAGAGAAATGATTTAATATACTCATAAATTAATAAACAATATATTTGAAGACATCAAATTCAGAAGAGAAGAAGAATTAGATAACAAAATCCCATTTTTAGATGTTTTAATCAGAAGAACCAACACAGGAAATTTAGAAACAAACTTTATAGAAAATCAATGCACACAGATCAAATACTCAACTATACTAGCAATAATCCAGTTACTCACAAAAGAAACTATGTGCATACACTGTTTGAAAGAGTTCAAACACATTGTAGCACTCCAGAGTTGAAATGAATGGAAGAAAAATACCTACAAAGGGTCTTCAAAAAGAATGGTTATCCACAAAATTTCATCAAAAAGTGTTTAAAGTCGAATCAAAACACCAACAAAAACCATCATCAAAGACCACAAGAAAATTCATTCTACCATACATGAGGAATATCTCTGAAATAACAGCTAGAATAATGAAACCGTTAGATATAGATATAGCAAACAAGCCAGTCAAATCGCTTAATTCGATATTATGCAAACCGAAAGATCCAACAGAAAAAGGGGATAAAATTAATACCATTTACAAAATAAATTGTATGAACTGTAACAGGCATTACATCGGTCAAAGTCGGGGCCCTTCGAATCACAAATTAGCTGTATAAAAGACACGATATGTATTCTTTAGTATCAATGCATATAGACAACTATGGACATCAATTTGATTGGGATAATGTCAAAACCTTAGACAGAGGAAACACCAAAAGTGCCAGGGAATTCCTATAAGCCTGGTACTCAAACGAAAATGCAATTAACAAACACGTTAATATAGACGAAATATACCAGCTAATAAAAAGCAAATCAGGTGACCAGAAATTTTAAACTCCAAGTCAATAGAAAATGGTCAATACATTTGTAAAGATAGTTACCGGGAGACGCAATTATATCACTTATGAAGAAATTTAATCATTTCACTTTATGCTAAATATTGCGCTGAAGATGTTGTCCAGAAGGACGACGAAAGCTCCGCAACCAAACCAATCAGCTCAGAGAACACTATTAATTGCAAATCATCCACCTGAGCTACAAATCTCCTCTATTATTTCAATTAAATTCCTGCAAGCCACCATTTGAAAATTTTCTATTTCCTTTTCACTTGGCAGCATTTCGATTCAATTCACCCGTGCATTTCATCTCCTTCAGTCGTTCCTCCGAGAAATGAATGAAGCTGCCTTCGAAAGTAAACAAATTAACCGACACAGAACTGCTTATTATTTTTTTTTTTTTACATACATAAACATATTGGGGGATTTTAAATGCGTCAGCAACAAAATTTCCCCATAGAATGGTTAGACAAAGTATTGTCTCCCAAAAATAATTTAATTAACAAAAGATAAACAGACTAGTAGACAAGTTAACTGAAAACTACACGTCTAAGTTTAATGAACAGTCAGTTATGATAAACAGAAATCCATTAGCAACAACAAGGTCAAAACTAAAAGAAAAAGTAGCCTTCTGAATATGGAAGCTTACCAGGATCCTCTGTAAACTTATTCCCCTTTGTGAATTGAAAATAGGGTGAAAACAACAGTTGGAGAAGAATGACATGAGATGCCGTTTCATTTTGTCGGTTACTCATCAGCCATACATTAGCTTAGGAATTTTATTATTTTGTTTATTTTAAAAAAATTTTTATTATCGTTATTATTATTGTGACGTTCATGAAAAAGATGATATGACGTCAGGTAACAGTGTAGACTCAAAAATATCATAAACAAACATGCTCAATTGATTTCGTCATTAGCTAACGTTAGTTTAAGAAATCACTGAAAAACAGGAAGTACTGGTAAGCCATTTCACTCTCTTTGGAGACCCTTCATCAGTGGCCAACCACAGCCTCACCAGGGATCGAACCTGAGGCTTCAGGTTCTGCGACATCAAGCCGGTTGATGATTTGGAAATTTTGATAAAGGAGTTAAGTAGGAAAAACAAGAGGTGGATAAGCTGATGATAAGAAACCAGTAAGTTGCGTATTAACGTTGTGAGTTCAACTCAGTTAGTAGAAGAAGCAAAGAAAACGAACAGATTCTTAACATAAAATAAAACGACAAACTTTAATTAGGCCATTTAGAGGACATACATTACGGAGTGTTATCATTTCGTAGTTTCTTTACGAACCCTTAGCAATTAGCGTGGTTCATAGTGGTAAAATAAAGTGACTGACAGTTACTCAGTCAAAGTTAGAACGAGATAAACAAGTGTATAAAACTGTTTTCAGTTAGATCTTCTTAAGGCTTTACTCTAATTTAGATAGATTTGTATATACAAAAAATTAACCCGTAACGGAGAGTTTGTGGATCAAATAATAGCAGTAATAATAATAATAATGTGGTGAATGTTTTGAACTTCAGTAGTAATAATGACTATAATGATAACAAGGATAATGATAATGAGGTTTATGCAGGTGGTGACAAGAATAACGAAGTTAGTAATATGTGTATATGTAGACAATTTAATAAATAAATTAGATCAAGTTTTGAAAGTTGTGTAATACTAAAGGTAAAGTAGACAGATACTGAGAGTTTAAATAAATATCATAAAAGTACGAAGGAAATGGAAAACAAGAAAGGGTGGAAAAAGGGTGATTAGAATTTACCTAGGCCAAGGGAGAGACAAAGGTAGAACACACTTCTTTTGTATGCAAAGACTAGGATTGTTCTCTCTAATTCCCGTATCTTCGGCAGTGTGTAAAAGGCAGGTTCAAACTCCATTCAGAAGGTTCGAAGGAATGCAATAGATAACTTTGAAGTCACTACTTCTGTCCATTTGATGACCGCTATCAATCAAATGAGCCAAAATAGAGATGCTTAAGGATTTTATTTGGCATTTACCAGACCACGAAGGAAGATGCTCATTAATGCGTTTGGTGAGCGGTCTAGTTGTTCATCCTATATAGCTCTCTTCACAGGAGCTGCTAAATTTATAAATGCGCATAGAAGTGGCACAGATAGAAAGCTTATCTTTCTCTTGACCAATCATAATTGCTCGGCTGAAGAATGACAGTCGAAGGGTGGCAGCAGTAAAATTCCATTTCATGGCTCCAGAAAATCTTAGATGTATGACTTTACTAGCCAAGTCCCCATCAAATTGCAATCTGTTGTCAGTTTCTACTTATTATACCTGGTGCTCATGTGTCTCCTTAGAAATCTACTAGGATAACCCATTTGGACTAGCGTGTTTTGGATGTATCCTAATTCATTTTCTAGGGAGTCATCAATACAGATCCGTCTTGCTTTATTCCTGAGGCATCTGACCAATTTGGTTTTGTATCGGATTGGTACAAAACTGAAGAAATGTGTATATTGTCCTACAGATGTAGATTTTCTATAGTGAACTGTCCTCTCTTCGGCTCAATTGGACATCAAGGAAGTGTAGTCTACCATCATGTTCTTCTTCACCAGTGAACATGAGCGATGGATGTGCATCATTAAATTTTATTAACATTTCGTTCTTGTCAGCTCTCTTTATATAATGATAAACTTATTATATTAAAGGTTTTTGTATTTCCCAATGATTGAAAAACAAAACGATATTACTGTCTTTACTGACGTTTCGCTATTTAATGCTAATAGCTTTATCAAACTATTATTAAACCGGAGTTTACAAAATCTCAGCATATATATATATAACAAAAAGTTAAGGGGTGAGAAAATAGACTAAGGTCAGGTTAAAAGGATATATTGAAAGTTAAAATACCGATGAAGATCACTAAACCAAATAACAAAGTTAATAGTATGTCTGTTATGGTATCAAAACAAAGTTTGCTAACTTGATCATCGTTCGTTAGTCTGGGGTCATTTTTCGTTGTCAAGTTGGTCAACTGGTAAAGATAACAAAATCAAAATCAAGTGTAGATTGTTGGATTTGATCAGTGTTTAAAATTGTAAAGGCAGCGTGTGTTTACATAGTAAACTTGCATATCACATTCGTGTTGATTTTGTCACTTCATGGGGGAGGAGAGAGGGCTGCTGTAACCAGGTCAGATTCTGTTTTAGTCCATCATTCCTATTCAGACAATTTAGATTCCACTTGATATGAAGTGCTTCTGATGATATTAGACGTTCTTTGTGATTTCTGAAGTTTTTCTGGATGATGATTTCAATATTGTCAAAATCAATGATAAACTCAGTTATATGAAATAAAAGTACATTCTAAAAACCAGTCACATTTAGTAGGTCAAGTAGTCCATGGTAGGCATAGGTTGAAGTTTGTTGTTTTCTGCACACATATTTTGAGACATATATGATTAGTTCAAAGTGCTTTTGTCATCCTTAACGCCCCCTGAATTAAAGTTATACGAAATAATGTAGAAACAGCCGTGAATATCGATTTTGTGATTAGACACTAATGAATGCCTTGCAGCGGATGATACTGAGCACATTTTGGGTTTTCTATCTGACTTAATAACCACTTAGGAACACATTCTTTACCACGAAGTGGTAGCATTCTATTGGTTCCACAAATGCAGGTCAACTTGTAGATACAGTGTGAATTACAATGCATGTTACGTGTAAAGCCATCTTAGAGAAATGACGAAATGAAGATATCATCTCGCTATATTTGCCTTCCTAATGCCTTATTTGAATTCATCAGAGGGACAAGCCATTTCACTTTTATCAAGGAAAGACATAGAAAACAGTATTCTTACCGTAACTTCTCCTCAAAGCTATACAGCTATTTAGTGTACTCAAGAGTCACAGAAACATCTATAAAGGTCAGTCGGTAATTCCAGTTGCCGAAAACATACGAAATTAAACATCATGAGAAATAATGAAAATTTTCAAGAGCTGATTTTTAAGAATTTGATTTGTTTTTTTAACGAATTGATTACGGATTGATATCAGCTAGAGAACTGTTGAAAACCAGCACTAGAGTACTGGATAACTGTTTCTTCCTAGTTTGGCGACTCCTCAGCGCTACTCACCCACTGGGTTTCGAACTCAGGACCTTCAGGTTACAAGGCGAGTTTGTAGACCACTCAACCACAGAGACCCAAACCAGTGGACAGTGTCAGTTCATGATATGGCGTAACCACTAGCCAATACTCACCAGCTAGTGGCTCTATTCAGGTAGGCGATTACCTAGGGTTCTGATGGGAATTCGTGACCTGTAGGGTACAGCAGGTTGCAGGTGAAGCAGTAACTCATCGAAGAAGACATTGGCTAGAGGTCGCGTTATGTCGTGAATTGGCAGAAGCTGGGATTCATGGACTGGTCATTGGATCAGATCCAAGTGACTTAATGATCTACGAACTCGCTCGTCTTGTAACCAGAAGGTCCTGGGTTCGAACCCTGTCGGTGGGTGCGTTCTGATGAAGAGTCCCAAACTAGAACCAGGCAGCTGTCCAGTACTCCCAAGTTTTCAATATTCTTAACAAAATAACTATTTTCTTCTCTCTTTCTCTCTCTCTTTTAGTATATCGTTTCGTTTTGAAGCTGCATGGGATTCATCGCTTCATGCTTCAAGTTTACTAAATCTTGTCACACCAAATGGTCAACGTGTCTATATGACAGTCTCTTCTTATTTAAAGGTGGATGGTTGTCGTCAGCCTGTTTGTATGACAAAAGATATAGCAATGGTTGTATTTCCACGTGAATCAAAACTTCTTGTACCAAGGTAAGTAGGTATTTCATTTTAGTTGGTTATGTTTCGGAAAAAATAGGCGTTCTTAATATGTATGCTAAAACTGAGTGATAATGAGATTTTGTGACGTAATCAGTTAGTAATTTCTTTTCTATCATCTAAATAATCCGTGAAATGGATGTACCTGCATCTCTAGCGATTAATAGCTTTGCAGTAAGATTCGATCCCATGCTCTAACCCATTGGGCTAATGGATTGTACTCTGACGTTTGATACAACGAGTTTTTGGTTCGAGTTTCATTGGTAACATCACCGCTGACTAGCAGTGCAGATACATCCACTTGACGAGTTTCAAACAGGACAAAACTGAACGTGTCAGTCGCTAAGTTTTCCCATCTATCCATGAATATATCTGCTACAACTGGGGATATTGGTGACCCCATGGCAACTCCCTCAGTTTGTTTGAATATTTTCCCTTGGAATTTAAACACTGTGGAAGTCAGATATAGCTGCACTCTTAACATTATCTCCTCCAGTGGCGATTTCGTCCTAAGTTCGAGTTCTTGGTCAGAAATGAGTTCATTTCTGACTGCCTTTATAGCCATATTTATTGTTATACATGTATATAAACTGACAATGTCAAAACTAACCATTTTTTATTCATTATCTAATTTTAAATTATCTAATCTATGTTTTAGTTCATAAGAATTTGTTATTCTAGATTTGAGTGACTTTTAAGAGGATTTAATACCGTAACTGTGCGTCGGTGGCTTAGCAGTAGAATTCTCGTCAACAACTCATATGGTCCGGAGTTCGATCCCCGGCTGACGCACTCCTAAACCTCGCGAAGCCAGTAATAAGACTGATAAAGAGGGAAGGTCAGGCACGAGGCTAGCAATCCCATCTCGTAAAAATAAACACCACTGCTACTGAAACTTCAAGTCTGTAGCTTGAAGCCCAATGTTCCACTGGGAACGTAAAGGAATAAAAAAAGTATTTAGACAAAGTCAGAACCAGAATAGAAAGTCTACAAAAATACAACTGACTGTTTGTTGTAGAGTTAGTTTCACACGTAAAAGAAATATTCTATGCCATCTTTTATACGATCAAAGGTTCCTGTGTTTCTAATTCTATGGCTAAGACAACAATTTAAATTTTATTTGTGGTGTATAAACATGAGACTGTGGAAGTGGATGCATTGTGCATTTTTATCATTATTTCATGCAACCGGTTCCCTTTATTAGTTTGAAGAGAGAAAGAACGAACATGTTTGCAGGATAATACGAGCTCGTTTTATTTCGTGGATTCTCATCAACTGCATACATCCTAAACAAAATCAAATTATAGGTTTCAAGTAAGTTGTGGAACATACTTTTTCATAATTACTTTGAGTTATGGATAGAAGGCATAAGGAACATAATTCCAGAATTTGATGTAGGGAGACAGATTATTCGGTGTCAAAAAACAACTAATTATATATAGTGGAACTAGATAAGAGGGGATAGAGTTCAGATTTCTATTGGAAAACAACACAGATTGGTTAGAGGCATATTACAGGGTCAGGGTCAGAGAACAAAGTAAATTTACACATCTTGTGGTGGAGAGTTTAAGAGGGTAGGGGTGAATAGTGAAGTAACATTTATAACTTAAACACACAAACAATTAAGTAGATTTAGAAACTTGAAGGTCAAAATTGAATACAATGTTACGTAAAAAGACAAACACACAGGCATACTGACAGAAAGGCAAAACAAAAATAAAATAAAATAGAGTTAGGGTTACCAAGGTAGTGAAAGATTAATCACACTATCTTTCTGTATACAGAGGTCTGGTCGAAATCTCTTGATAGCAATGGCTTCTGCGAAGCGAATTAGCCGTGGGTTTCTTTGAGTATTGATTATTTTGAAGGCTTGGCTAATTTCTACTGTGTGTCCTGTGTCAATTAGATGTCTGGCGATTGCACTCAATAACACTTTTCTTCCTTTTGTACGGAGACTCTTAGGAATGTGCTCAGAAAATCTAGTAGATACTGTCCTCTCAGTCCTTCCTATGTACTTGCTTCCGCAGGTGCAAATTCTGGAATTATGTTCCTTATGCCTTCTATCCATAACTCAAAGTAATTATGAAAAAGTATGTTCCACAACTTACTTGAAACCTATAATTTGATGTTGTTTAGGATGTATGCAGTTGATGAGAATCCACGAAATAAAACGAGCTCGTTTGATCATTATTATTCCCTTGGGTTCCGGGTGGAACATAGAGCTGACTTCAACAACACATCTCTACTTTCTTCTGTTTTCTGCCGTCCTCTTCAGTAGTGGGCTAGCCACACGATTGGCAGTAATCTCTCATCTAATCCTCGCCACACGATCTCCTCCATGTCACTGTCGCACCGACGACCCACACCTTGCTTCCCATTTGGATTCCACTCGAGCACTGGCCTGGGACGCGATGTACGTTACATATACAGAAATATCTGCAGAAAAGCCACGTATATACACATAAAGTACAAACAGAATTTAATTCGTTGTCTTAATCATTGAGATACTTAACTTGATGACACAAATGCTTTAGATTGGTAAAAGATCAAATATACATCAAGGATGAAATTTAATTTGCCTCACACTAAGCTCATTTCTATACGAATAATTTTATGAATTGTCTTAAGTTCTCTGTGTGTATATATAGGCATATCCATGTTTCGTTTTTCTTTTTCGATTTGAATATTTCCTTTATACTATTCTACAGTCCGCGTCTTACACCAAATCCTACTCGTGCTATACTTAGGTCATTACGTTCAATTTGGAGTACATTTTACAGAAGTGTTGAAGCGAATCGTGTCACCGCTGTATACGATTTACAAATTGGACAAACTGCCTTAAAAGGTTAGTCATTAGTTCATAGTAATTTGATTGAGTTTGTTTTTGGTTATTTTCTTCAGTTTTAATGTGTAAAACAGCTTTGATTCAGTAGCAGTGTATATTCTTAATAAGGTAGAAATTAACATAACATTCAAGTCCGCGAATTTTATCAATAACAAACTATATCCAAGAAAGGATTCTTTGCAGAAAGAATAATTGTCAAGTGTTGATTTGAAAGGATTTGATTAGTTATAGGATGAGTCACGAGCTTACATCAGTTAGAGAACCATTGGAATACCTGGGAGTACTGGAAGTTTGTTTCGTCCAAGTTAGGGACTCTTTATCAGTACTCCCCTATGTTAAACCAGTTAAATCACTGCAGACTAACACTTGATAATTTGTATGATGATATGACAAGTCTGGAGTTGTTGATGTACTACATATTTATATGCATGGCATGCAGCCGCTTGTTATATTTCATGCCATCACTATCACTGCTGCTTTTAGTTGTTATGACTTCGCATATGGTAACATCATACCTGTGACAAAAGACAGACATCATAACCTAGAATGATGTGTTTTCCTCTAGCATCAGCCGAATTCAAATGAAGTACTATTTTTCATACATTAGGTTCCCTTGATAAATTTCAATAGAGAAAAAGACCAGATTTGCAGTATAAAATGATTTCATCATTCTATTTCACAGGTTCCCATCAGCTGCAGACTACCTAAAATTACAATGGTTATATAGATGATAATAACATACTTTAATGTTTGAGTGGCAGTAGAGAAGCGATACTATAAAATTGACGCATCCAAAATGTAAGCATTACAATTTTTAGAACAGTGTTAGCTTGTAGGTTCACACAGAAACTCAAAAAACAAAAGCGGTTAGAGTTTATAAGATTGAGATTTGCTCAATGAGTTGAGATCACTGAATTAGAGGACTAATTAATGTAATCAAAATCAAAATTCAGTTATCAAGGGAGTGAGAGAGAGGTTAATCGCACTCTCTTTCTGTATGCATAAGTTTGGTTTGAATCGTTTGATTGCTATCGTTCCGGCAAATCGTAGTAAATTTGCTGTCCTTTGTCTATTTAATATTTTGAAGGACTTAGAAGTCTCTACGAGATGACCAGTATCAACAATATATCTGATAATTGCACTCTGAGAATATTTGCTTCCTTTCAGACACAAGTTTCTTAAAATATGTTTAGAAAACCGGATAGAAGCCCTTCTTACTGTCCTTCCAATGTACTTTCTTCCGCAAGTGCACTTAAATTCATAAATGCAGTTGGAGGCGACATCAGCAGGGTATTTATCCAGTTTTGAGTGGCTTATAGAAGTGGTGCTGTATCATGTTATGAATTTAGTTGCAGGGAAGCTTCTTTTTATTGCACCTTTCAGTCTTCTGTCAATCTTTTGTGACACTGCATCTCCTTTGAGAGAAGTCGCAGCTAGCGGGGTACACCAAGTGAACCAAGACAGCAGTTGGTCGTCCGTGACATTGTCTGGCAGTTGCTCTGAATATATATCACAAACTGATAGAGGCTTAATGGTCTACAAGCTCGCTTCTTAACTGAAAGGTCCTGGGTTTGAGACCTGGCGGTGGGTGCGTACTGATGAAGAGTCCCAAATCAGGAAGAGACAGCCGCCCAGTACTCCCAGGTTTCCCAATAGTTCTCTAACTGATGTCAAGTCGTAACCGTCTTGTCTAGTAGCTCGCAATGACTATGAGGTCAGACACAAGGGTTGGAGAAGTTGATCAAGGTGAATTACGGTAGCCCAGTGCAAAAATTTAGAAAAATCTAACCTGGTAAACCCTACTATGAGTAGAAATCTAGTAAGAATCTCAGCTACAGAACCACGTGCAGTTATATATAACCATATAACAGAATGGAATAAAGTACCAATCTTAAAATCTATTACATCCAGATAAAGACAGGGTCTGATAACTGTAGAACTTATCTAGCGAATTAGCTGAGAATACATGTAGTAAAAATGATTCGAAACTCATCCTTGACATCTGATAAGTTGAACTGCTTCTACAACTAGTGGGAAGGAGAAGAGAGAGGGAATCATAAAAACCGCATTTAGCAGTTATGCAGTTACAACAGTTATGATGGGTTAAGTTTTTAAAGCTCTCATAAGCTGGATAAAGTTACACAATCAGCTATGATTCTGAATGAATAAAAATGTGCTTAAACACGCATAATTTCTAGAACTTTGTAGAACGTGTAGACAAATATCTCGTATATGAGTAAAGTTCGCATTATTATTCAAAAGTCTGTCACTGTATTAGACTTCATGTAGAGATAACACCAGTGTAAACATTAAATTGAGACAGTAATTACTTCTGACGCATAACCAAAGCGTATCCAGTAAATAAATCTGTATAAATTATATTTATATCAAAGAGAAATGTGCTTAATCTAGCAAGTTTTTAGGCAGTAAAGAACTCGTATAACACCGAATTAACTCTAAACATTAAAATTGTCACGTACAGAAGTCGGAAGATTTAGAAGGAACAAAGCGACATGCGATATTGTGTATACCATATATGTGATTTATCTCCTTTCAGGTGTAATTTCTAATTAGATAGTTAGTCTGATTGCTGTATAGACTGAAAGTATTCTGTTTAAAAGTGATAACACACCAGTATAAATCCTCTGAAATGCAAATCTTGCTTGGCTTTATCATATGCGGGTCAAATACCGAAATGCTAATATGGATACCAGAAGAAATTACTGTTCAGAAAAACGTAAAGTTATTTTATAGAGTATTTAAACTGAAAGGTCGAATTTTCCTACTATTACGCTCCCAGAGATCTCTGGGAGCGAACCAACACAGCAGGAACCGATTGCGAAACAAATAGGCAGGAAGAAATGCAGGTGGATTGACTGGCCATACTCCGAGGAAACCATCAAGTGACATCACTAGACAAACCATTTCTCGAGTGGAACCCGAGAGGAAAGCGGCGAGTTGGTCGTCAGTGCGAGGGTGACTTGGAGGAGGTCATGCGAAGAGGAGATGAAATTGTGTGGGCAGACTTGGAGCCAAGTGAAGACTCTAGCAGAGAACCGAACGCAATGGAGACGCATGGCTGAAGCCCTATTTTCCTCTAGGAGTTAAAGGAAACAATAATAATAATTGTTATAATATTCAAAGCCTTTGGCTAGCAAGTGAATCCAAGACGCTATTTTAGTCCTATTTAGCTCCATAGACCTGAATGATATGGCTTCTAGCTACCTTACAATCCCAAAAACACAGTCAAAAACGTTAATAATATAATAATAAAGTTGTATTTGAGGCAAAATATAAACATTATATATAAACGGTATAGAAATTTCCAGCGTATTTAGTTCCAAAATATTTTCCCTTCGTACAATATTAACGTGTAAATAATAATCTGAAGTATACCATGTGACTTAGTGTTGTTGCATATGAAAAAAGAAACAATTCTCTAGTTTTCTCTTCATTTCTTCCAAGAATTGAGCAGCATCTAGTTGAAAGCTAATCAAATATACTCACGAGTTCATGTAGTGGTCATTTGATATAATTGTACGATTTAAGCGATAAGAAATGCAGAAGATTGGTCGGAGGATTTCATCATGAGCTGACATCAGTTAGAGAACCATTGGAAAACCTGCAGGAAGTACTGGACAGCTGTTTCATCCTAGTGCCTTGAACTCTTCAGCAGTGTGCATCCACCACCAGGGTTCGAACCCAGGGCCTTCTAGTTACAAGTCTAGGTTGTAGAGAATTAAGCCACTGAGACCCGATCCAGTGTCTAGCCCTTGAATTCTAACTTCTGCGAATTCAAGACATAGTGCGACCACTTTACGATGTCTTTTTTGATGAGTTACTGCCGTCACCTTGAACCTGCTGTACCCTACTGATCACGGCTTCCCACTAGAACCCCAGGTAACTGCCTTCCTGAATAGGGACAGTCGCTAGTGGGCATCAGAGGAATTTTCAAGTATTAGTTTTTGTAGGGACTTAGTTTGATTGGTTGGAGGAATTCATCATTTTAAGCAGCATTTTAATGGATGAAAATTCTGGTAGTCCAGTAATTAAAACAAGCCACTGGACCACTGGATCAGAAGCCGACATGTCGACAGAGAATGAGAACAATTCAATCCAATAAAACCAATGAAAGAAAAATTCAATAAAAATTTCAACAAATTTTCAAAAGAATAGATACGGAACAAAGAGAACTCTTTTCGATAAATTCATCATCAGGTTCTACAATTATATATACATTATAATGAATGAATGAGTTAGTCTTATGAACGACATTAATGTTTAAATAACATCAAATCAATAATATTGATAAATTACAGCTGAACAGCATCAACATCAATTAAACTGAATGTCAGAAGAATTAGGAAAGGTAATGGTACAAATTCATGAGTTTATATTCTCTACTGAGGGCCAGGGCAGTAGTAGGGGCTGGACTTGTTTCTTTTGGACACACAGCGCTGGTTGTTTGAGGCGAATTGCAATAGCCTCTGCTGTTTGGAGTAAGCGGTGCTTCGAGGATTTTGGTAGTTAGTTGGGCACCCGGTATATTATGGAGAAGGATTCGTCTACGCTGGCTTTGTGACCGATTTGCACCAGATGGTCTAATATCGAGCTGTTAATACTTTTGACTACACCTTTACTTAGCCATAGTGGGATATGTTCTCGAGCACATTCAGTTTAATTGATGTTGATGCTGTTCAGCTGTAATTTATCAATATTATTGATTTGATGTTATTTAAACATTAATGTCGTTCATAAGACTAATTCATTCATTCATTATAATGTATATATAATTGTAGAACCTGATGATGAATTTATCGAAAAGAGTTCTCTTTGTTCAGTGTCTATTCCTTTGAAAATTTTAATGGGCATTTTTAATCAATTTCAACAAATGTCATTCAAAGCTATTCCAGTGTTGTTGGGTGTTTTTCTGAGCTGTGGGCAGTCAAGCTGTGAAGCCTTCATTGTCCTTCTGAACAACATCTTCAGAAATTCATTTC